TACTTTATTGGAGCTTACCTCCTTCTTACCCTTGAGCTCGGGCAAAACGCGGGTAGCGGTTCGGCGAGCTCGTCGGCGCCTCAGCTGCTGCTTCGTTGGCTCGGCGTTGGTGCTGCTGGCTTTAGTATTACCGAGCTCGATGGGCTCGGACTGCTGATGGTAGTTGTGAACCGAAGGGCCCTGCCTGTAATCTACGGCTAGGACCTCGAACTGGTTTTCTGCGAGTAGAAGCTCAAATTGAGAGTGCTGAGGTGATGTGGGCCTAACCGGCTGGGAGGCCCCCGACCTGCCTGCAGGCTGCGAGGCGGGGGTGACTGGTCTCTCCTTCCTACCGTGGGACAAGGCTTGGCTTTTGGGAGGATTCTTGATTTGAGAGGCCTCTCCCTGGCGAGGATGTTCACTCCGGCGGGAGGGCTTGGCTTGCTTCGAGGCCAGATGTCGAGGGGGAAGCGGCTGCTGGGCCTAAGGCAGTGAAGGGAACTACTGTTGGTATTGGTACTGAGAAATTTGATGCAACACTTGCTGCTGGTAGAGTTGAAACTACTGGAACTGTTGCATTTGAGCTTGCATGGCTCGCATGCACTGCACTAGGTCTTCAAGCTGGTTTTGGTTGCTTATTGGGGGAACAACGGAAGGTTCAGTAAAGGTTGCTCCAACTGCGGAAGGGCGTGGAAAGTTCACAGGTGCCACTGTGTGAGGCACGTTCAATTTGGGAATTCCGTCAACGGAGAGGGGGACGGTGAACTGTCCAATGCAGACAGTGGGGAGCTGAGGTTGTTCCCCAGGAGCGTTCTGGTCGGCACCACGTCCGTTATTACTAGAGGAAGCCATGAATGCTGAGTTTTTGAGAGGGAGTTGTGGAGATTAGAGGAAGGTTTTTTGAAGCGATTCCCGTAGACGGCGCCAAATGATGTAGTGCGATCCTGACACTCCTAGTTGGCGGACACTTGCCTCCTAGCTGGCGACGGACGGTACCTGAGAAGGAAAAGGTGAAGGATTCCCGGGGAGCTTGCCCGGTGGGAATACTCTGATGCTTAAGTTAGAACACTCGAGAGAGCTATAAAGAGAGCTAAGAGTGCAAAGAGCGCTAGATCAGTTAACTCAAGGTTAGCTCAGGATACAGGATGTAAGATACCTTTACCCCTCCGACCCTGGGGCCTTTAAATGCAAATGTTCTTGTCAAATCGGGTGTAACCGCCATTGGCTCTCTATCGCAACCGTTATTTTCCAGGGCTGCGCAAGTAACTGTTGCAGGGTACTGCCCAATCGGATGAGAGACACGACCCAGAAATGACAGACTCGCCACCACCTGTCGAGAGACGCGGGTGCTTCCTGATAACTCCGCGTCGTCGCTTAACAGTGAGCTGCTTTGTAGCGAGCTATCCCATAGCGAGCTGCCATGTAGGGAGCTCCTGGATGTGTCCCGAGGTGATTCTACCTGAGGTTGCCTTTGGGGCAGTCTTCTTGCCTAAGTATTGGAGCGAGCTGGTTCTCTCAACTCGCGAGTTGGGATAGACTTGTCTTGGAGTATTCCCTTTCCACATGTCAGGGTCCATGAGCTCGTGCTGTAGCGAGCAGTAATGTAGCGAGCTGTCCTAGGAGCACCTTAACGAGCTCACTATTCCGTCATAGCCAGATTGTCATGCTGAGTTGTTGCTTATGTTGAGTCACGTACACGTATTGTCCTCTTGGGAGATCGGGTCAAATCGTCCTCCATCAGAGCCAACCAATCTAAATCTTCTATCTCATTCTAGATGGAATTTTTAATCCAAAGGCAAGGTTCTTAGAAGTGAATTTTTTTTCACTTATGAGAATCATGATTCTCCATTCTTGGTCACACATGACTTTAAAATAATGAACACGTGTAACTTGGTCACACACGAAAGCAGGGGTAAAAGTGTAAGTTGCCTATTTATCATCACCCTTTTCTATTTAGTGCCATTTTTTTTCCAATTTTGAAACCAATAATGGATCTTTATCCCTGTGTGCTTCTTCTCATTGTCTTTATGCCTTTGTCTAGCTCAAGCTTGCATAAACACACAAAACCCTCATAATCTCTTATTTGAAATTGATGAAAGTTGTAGGGAAAAAGATATTGGCTCATGAAAATGTGCATGTCATGGATGAGTAAGACAATGAAGAAGATGCCTTTAATGCCGAATTAGGTTTTGATTATGAAGAAATTCAGTTCATTGATGAGGAGTTTCCTTTTAGTGATGATGACAACAATGGCAAAGTGATGGGGTGAGTGTTGCCGGCGAAAACCACTTCGACAACATCTTCTGTAACTTTTCCAAATAAGATAGTAATAACAATTAGAAGAAATAGGTACTTTTAAATGCCTCACTCTTTCTTAGAATTTAGAAAATTCTCAAAATTCATTCTTTTTATGATGGATTCTAAGAATGAGAAATGGGAGAGTTGATGCCAAATGGGGCCTTAGTCTCTTACTCCTCAGTCCATAACTCTCCACTTTATTCAAGTTTCAATAAGAATGCTTTATCAAGTGTCTCAAGTTAGCAATTTTAGAGGCTTAGAATCTTTATCAATTGAAATCAAGTTGGGATACTAGGGAAGTAGAAGTTAATTTCACCTTTATCTAAAATTTAAGATTTTAATATTTAATTTTGAATTTATTAAAATGGTGGGTACTTCCCAAACTCCTTTTCCCTAAACTCTCAATGAGATCCAATCACACTATGATCACACTGATATCGGTTTAATGGTACTACTACTCATGAAGCCACTCTTAGTGATCGGAGTGGCAACAGAGAGAATAGTGAAATTTGGAGAATGTTCGTGGTAGAAATCAATGGAAAAGGAAAAAGAACAATCTAATTTTAGTTATCATAGAAAAGGTGGCATCAGCCATTAGCTAGACCTATAGCAACACATTTGGTGAAAAATGATAATGAAATTCAAATACAATTTGAATGTGTTTTTTTTTTATTGGTAATTTTCATTATTCACAATAAAAAAACGAGATAGGAATTAGCATACATAATGTACATACTAAATGACCCTTTTTATTAGTTGAAGATCCCAAATTTGAAATTTTTCATAGCAATGTGTAAATCCTCAATTTAAATAAGCTTCTAGAAATACTATAAGAGTGGATGCTTTTAAAATTTTTCGTCATATAAATAAGATTTAATTTGTACACTGTCAAATCTTAATTCAATAGTTGCACTTACTTTTGGTATTTGGACCTTTGTATTATGAGTCATTTTACTGATGAATCATGGCTTTTGCAAAAAAGTGTTATGTTTTAAGGATAGTCAAGAAAAAATGATAGTTCGATTCAACCACTTGTTATTTGGCAAGAAAAATACTTCAAGTTCAAATCCTATTACAATACAGAGTTTCTTTAACTCAAATTAACCACAACAATAAAAACCTATAATATAGAAAAGGAGAAGAATAGAAAAAAAATACTTAGAAAGGATCCATCACGAAATGAACATGCATAGATTGAAAAATATATATTGTAGACACCCCATTTTTGTGCAATTCAGTCTTTTTACAACACTTCGACCTTCAAGCATGCTTCAATTAACCTCTCAATTGACCTAAGGGCATTTTAGATTTTGACAAAGGTTTAGACCTCTAGGTTAACAAAATTCAACACTAGAGACACGGTTGTCAATGGTCAGGTCTGACCTAATGGACCTAAACTGATTGGGCCAGTTTTAGTTCCAAGATTTGTATCGATGGGTCATTTCCGATTCTTAATCTATTGTCCCGATTATTATCGATTCAAAACCGGTTCTACCTAGTCCCAAACAATCTCAAACCTAACATCAGCCATATGTATAATATTTTTTCAGCAAATTTATTATAATCAAGTCCATGAGATCAGACTCAATTGTCTCGAGAACCAATTGGTTCAGTTCTACATCTAAAATTACATACCTATAGGGTTTGGTTTGGTTTCATTTCCTTGACATTTCTTGTCAAATCGGTTTTGGTTCTACTTATCCCAATCCATACCTAACCCATTGACAACCCTAGTTAGAGAAGAACTTTAATACCAATTAATGGTGGTTTCAAATGATAGGATCTCTAATTTGTATTAGAGACCTGGGATCAAATCTTGTTGCCACTAGGACTCGGGGGGTAAGAGGATGGAGGATGGTGAGCTACCCCCGAAAAGGAATTTAATGACCCAGGATTCTTCCACATGGCCACCTATGCACAAAATCTGCTACAAACACAAGTGTATGAAATGGGCTATGTGACAAATAACGAGTGAACACGTTAGTGTTCCATAAACATAGGGCCCAAACCACATGTAGGTCCCATTTATACAAAATGACATATTCGGACTCGACCAATTGGGCCAAAAGGGTTTTAAATATAATCGTAAATAGGGTGGAGATCACATCAGCTCCCCGCCCCACATGCACATCTTAACGTGCACTCGGAACATCTCCCAATTATAAGTACGGGAGATATTCCTAATACTTGGGATGAGATGTACTGTGGAGCGCTGATGTGTGTCATAGTTTACTAATTACTACTAGTCCATATAATGATGACTAATGTCCAAATGCTGTTGTGGGCCTTGGGCCCGGCGACATCGATGGATCCAGACTCATCTTTGACCCAGTTACATCATAGTCCCATGATTTGTTTTTGTTGTTCTAGCCCAGGCCCATAAGTTATTTCTTTACCAAAAAGAGAAATAAATACCCAGGTCCATCGAAATCCCTCTTTTTTGCTTTTCTTGCCCAGGTCCAACATGGGTCACTACTCACTATCATGAATTCATTATTGAAGATTGAGATCTACCTGGGCCATTAAGTTTTTTAAGTTGTCGCGGCCTAGGGCCCAGAATGCACATTTTATATTATTTCCTGATCAAAGACCAGGGTCCTTCAAAGCCCATCTTTTTGCTGTTTCGCCCAGGCCCAACAAGGGCCGACACTATGAATTCATGACACAGAGTTAAGCGAGTATGTGGCTTAATTTAAACAAAATGACTATCCTTTGGACTCTAAAACCCTAAACCCTAGAAGGAGGCGCTTCTAGTCTTCTAGAGACTTCTTTTCTCTAGAACCCACTCTGCCTAACCCATCCAGTCCGCTCTATTTACGTCCTCCACTGCCACCACGCATAGCCGTTTTTTTCCTGTGCAAAGCGACACTCCAAACCCTAACCATAACTCCCTTTTACTTCTGTCCCCTTCTCTGCAACTCTAACTCCAATCATGTATCGCGTGGCTGCCAATCTTGCTTCCAAAGCCCGGTAAGTAGAGGCAGAAGTGGAATTTGAATAAAAGAAGTGAACCATGGTTTGATCTTCCATTCATTCTGACTTTTGCTTCTTGATTTCTGCTAAACTGTAATCGTTGGTTGCGTTCTTTTGCGTTTGCAGGATCGCTAGGAACACTACACAGCAGGTGAGAATTGGTGTATTATTTATTTGTATTTTCTTTTGTTCTGTGGTTTTTGACTACTTTGGAATGGTTAAATAGAGGTCTATTAAAGTGGGTGGATCTCCTTTTTATCTCATTTTCGGTTTGGTTTGTTGATTTCAGGTTGGTAGCAGGTTGAGTTGGAACAGGAACTATGCGGCTAAAGACATTAAATTCGGGGTTGAAGCTCGTGCTTTGATGCTTAAGGGTGTTGAAGAACTTGCTGATGCTGTTAAAGTAACCATGGGTCCTAAGGTAATTGGTCTGATCACAAGCACATTGCCTCGGTTACTGAACTATGGCGTTTTATTTTCATTTTTGAACTGAAATAGGAAATGATTGCGGTGAACTGATAATGGAAAATTTGAACTGGTAGATAATTTTAATGTTGCAATGACTATATGAACATTTTGACCATATATAAATTGACCATCAATTGTCTTAAGATTCAGTAGAAAAACCACATGAGATAGTATCTAGCCTGTTCAAATGCATATAAAACTAAAGTGTACCTTCATTTGTCTGGAAAACAAAGTATCACATGCAACAAGTTTATATATTCGTGCACTTAGAAAGTTTTTCAAGTACGTTACTCCTCCATGACTGATTGCGCTAAGAATTTCATTTGGGTTAAGAATTTCATTGATGGCATTTAAGGGATTCTATTGCAGGGATTGGATTATTTTGGTAAAATGAAGAGAAATAGGTTTTAACCACATAAACTTGTATTTTAATCCCACCTAGAAATATTCTTGAAAAGGCCTCCAAAAGAAACGTTGTGATAAAGTCATCCTCTCCCTCTTTTCTCCCCCTGTAGCCCTGTTTCTTGGGGTTGGATGTTGAATGTTGAAATTTGCTGTCACTTGATTTAGGTTTAGGTTCTATATTTAGTTGCCATAAAGATAAAGTGCATAATTATCGATCGTGATAGCAACTCGGTTTCATACTTGTTCTAAGCGTAGCTGATTTATCTGTTACTGATAAAAAAGCTAATTTATTTGGTCTGGTGTTTGGTTTTTCAAAGGGGCGTAATGTTGTGATTGAACAAAGCTTTGGTGCTCCCAAGGTGACAAAGGATGGTGTCACTGTTGCAAAGAGCATTGAGTTCAAGGACAGAGTAAAGAACATGGGTGCTAGCCTTGTGAAGCAGGTTGCCAATGCAACCAATGATGTGGCAGGCGATGGTAAGATTTGTACATCACACCCATCATCCTTTTATTGGATGTAAGTGAAGCACTTTATATAGATTAGTATGCCATTTTTGTATTATCCACTTAACTTAACCAAGACAATAACTATTAGAACAGTTAACATATTGACACTGAATAACTGCATCCATATGCTCACTGTGACATGTTTGCAGGTACCACTTGTGCCACAGTCCTTACACGTGCAATATTTTCAGAAGGCTGCAAGTCAGTGGCAGCTGGAATGAATGCAATGGATCTAAGGCGTGGGATCACAATGGCAGTGGATTCTGTAGTGACAAACTTGAAGAGCAGAGCACGAATGATTAGCACATCTGAGGAGATAGCACAGGTTGATATTCTGGTTTATTGTTTTTTTTTTCTGTTGGAATTATTGGTGATGATGCATGAAGTAATCATTTAAATGTGCTAACGTAGAAGCATCACTTTTTGTTTTGGTATTAGTGGGCAACTAATATAGTTATGTCTTGAAAAAGGTTGGCACAATATCAGCAAATGGGGAGAGAGAAATTGGTGAGCTGATAGCCAAGGCTATGGAGAAAGTTGGCAAAGAGGGAGTCATTACCATAGCTGTAAGTTTCCTAGTGCATGGTTCTTCTTTACTGGTCATCTGTTAACCTGTGACTATTCCAATTTCTGTCATAGCTCTATCCAAATTGCATGTGCATTTAGATTTACATCTCTTTCTTGTTCCTTATAATGGATTAACTGAAATTGAATCTCTTTTTTGGAACACTTCAAAAGCCTACTGAACTTTTTTCATTGCATATGGAATTCACACGATGTAAATTTAGAATTGCAGAAATCATTGTCATTTTCATATTTATTTTGCCCCTTGTGTATGGACGTTGTGCATGGAATCTCTTAGTTTTACTTTCAACAAGTTATTCTATCCCTTTTTATATTCATAAGCTTATGTACTAGTATTACATATTTGGGTCTCATTTTTCTGATTTGCTAATAAACTGTTGCAGGATGGGAAGACACTATATAATGAGTTGGAAGTTGTTGAGGGAATGAAGCTGGACAGAGGCTATATCTCTCCGTATTTCATCACTAACCAGAAGACTCAAAAATGTGTAAGCCCTTTATCTGTGATGAGTAAACCTCTCATTTAACCTGATATTACTTTCAGCTCCCCTGTTGGGGGCATAGGCAATATGAATGCCAGTATCAATTTGCTTAGTGAAGTTTCAGCTATGTGCCTGCTTTCTCATTATTGCTGTTAAAAAGAAGGAAGAAAAGAGGTCTGCAGAGTTGGTGAAGCTGCAACTATGCCTTCATGCTATATTTGTTTCTGATAAAAAAGAGGTCTGCAGAGTYGGTTGAATTCCAGCTTTAATATTGTCTAGCTTTCATTTGCTACAGGAATTAGAAGATCCTCTGATCCTAATCCATGAGAAGAAAATTTCAAGCATAAATGCTGTGGTTAAGGTGTTAGAGCTTGCCCTGAAGGTTAGCAACAAATTCTTGGTTGTATTGATTGAATTAATTATTTCTTAGCTAAAAACTTCAAAATCTGTAATCCATTTGTCTAATTAGATTTTTCTTGTGAGCTTCAGAGGCAAAGACCTTTGTTAATTGTTGCAGAAGATGTAGAAAGTGATGCACTTGCAACTCTCATTTTAAATAAACTTCGAGCTGGAATCAAGGTACTGCAGTAGAGCATGCACTTAAATGCTGTGTTTCTATTGTAATGAATGGTTGATTGTTGGATGGCCAGAGAAGATTGTTAGCATTGACATGAGTGTGAATTATGAACATATTATAGGTCTGTGCCATTAAAGCTCCTGGTTTTGGAGAAAACAGGAAGGCTGGTTTGCAGGATCTTGCAATTCTAACAGGGGGTGATGTAAGTTAACTGCCTTGTTGTTATTTTGACTTGATAATGTTCTGATATGATTTATTAATAAATTAATCTTGATTTTCTTTGGCAGCTCATAACAGAAGAACTTGGAATGAATCTGGAGAAGGCAGACTTGGATATGCTTGGAACATGTAAAAAGGTGTGTCTTCTTTTCTTCCTGTCCAGATTGTATTCTTCTTTTTCAATTGAAGCACAAAAGTGGGAAGCATAGAAATGTAACCTGCTAGTGAATTTATAGGTCACAATATCTAAGGACGACACTGTCATCCTGGATGGTGCTGGTGACAAGAAATCCATCGAAGAGCGGTGTGAGCAGGTAATTTTGTTCTCTAATGTCATTTCATCTTTCATGTTTGGCTTTGTCTTTTTTATCTTTTGTTTGGCTAAAATCGTTGGTGATTTGCTCCCTTGGTGGATCTAAAGATGAATGGCTGTTCTAAGTGCTAATTTGTCTCATTGCTTGAATGTCCTGGCAACAGCTAAGGTCTGCAATTGAAGTGAGCACTTCTGATTATGACAAGGAGAAATTGCAAGAGAGGCTAGCAAAGCTTTCTGGTGGTGTTGCTGTTTTGAAGGTATTTTTTTTTTTGATAGATTACTGCTGAAGCAATATTTACAATTTTGATTTGGATTTCTTGGTCCCTGCTCCGGAGTTGTTTTTGTCTCACTTTCTCTGATGTAATGATGGAAACTTTTGGGGTTTATTTGCAGATAGGGGGAGCCAGCGAGGCTGAAGTTGGTGAGAAAAAGGATAGAGTTACTGATGCTCTAAATGCCACCAAGGCAGCTGTGGAAGAGGGAATTGTACCAGGTGGTGGTGTTGCACTTCTTTATGCTTCAAAAGAGTTGGATAAGCTGCATACTGCGAACTTTGACCAGAAGATTGGTGTTCAAATAATTCAGAATGCTCTCAAGGTATCCAAATTTGTTACTTTCAAAATCACCTTGTGACTCTCACTGTTGCTTGGTAGTGTATGAAAAAACTATTCCGATGGGATTTGACATACATAGTCACCAACTTGTTCAAAGTCTTGGGCTTGCTTATTGGTTGAAATTTAGTGTTTAAGATTGCTGCTAGACCGGTTGGTGGTAAACCATGTTGGTTTTCTTGTATGCAAAAATTAATGGCTGGAGGTTCTCCTTTTCATTTATTAATTGCAGACACCAGTGCATACAATTGCATCAAATGCTGGGGTGGAGGGAGCTGTAGTCGTTGGCAAGCTGTTGGAGCAGGATAACCCTGACCTTGGATATGATGCAGCCAAAGGTATGTGAAGTGTCCCTTTATCATGAGAATAATGGTTTTGTGGTTTTATTTTCATGTTGTAAAAAATTGATGTATTGTTCATCCTTTCATACAACCAGGTGAATATGTAGACATGGTCAAGGCAGGGATCATCGACCCACTGAAAGTGATTAGAACTGCATTGGTAGATGCTGCAAGGTAACTAGGGGCACCTTTTAGATTTTTCACCTAGTTGGTACCTGTTTTAATTCCAACTATATTTTATTTTGGTTATCCTGAAATCTCTACTATTTGTGCTTAAATTGTTATTGTATCTCCATCCAGCGTGTCATCTTTGATGACGACTACCGAGGCTGTTGTAGTTGAGCTCCCAAAGGATGAGAAAGAAGCTCCAGGGATGGGCGCTGGTATGGGAGGCATGGATTATTAAAGCTCTGATGTCTTCACCAAGTAGACAAGCAGTGATCTGATACAATCAGTTTAGTATATTCATAAAATCACACAGATTGAGGACATTAGGGTTTTGAACGGTGGTGGGTTCATTTTTCCTCAACTATGGTTTTTCTGTCCTCTGCACTATTTATTTTGTTAAATTATTTTTCTTGTTATGAGGCTCAAAATCCGTGTAATCGTAGTGAGAGGGAAGTTTTGTTCATGCTGGTACGTAATTGGAGTAAAAGCCATTGCTGATGATTGTAAAGACTCCTCTTGAGCACTCTGTTCAGAAGGGAAATCAGGATTAGGTTTATCTCAAAATGAAAAATAAAAATGCAACTTTCTTCTGCTGCAATAGCAACACTTGATCCTCTTATTGATTGATATTGACGTTTGTGTGCTGATAATTGGAGTTTTTCTTTCACTTTGTTCTTCTTGGGGCTTGGATGTTGTTCATAATTCGTTTTCTGAAGATGCAGACACTAATTCAAGATTTACTCCAAAGCAATTTAATAGATGTATCAGGCCATCAGAGTTGTACTTTTAAGTGAGTAGAGGTGGTTCTCATAAAAAATTGGAAAATCGAATCAAACCAAGGTTCAAAGTATCCACACGTATCAGCCTGTATCGGTCGATATGTATTGTTCTGGCACAGGGGGTGTATTGGGGTCTGACTGGTCCAGGGGATGGAGGAAACCTAAACCGCCCCCCCTGAACCGGTTGCAAAAATAAAATAAAATAAAATAACGTATTGATATTTTGAACCTTGAATCAAACCAATGAAACCAAATAAAAAATGGGTAAATTATAGAGGCCCCTTGAACTATGGGGTCTGGGACAAAGACCCCCTTGTACTTTGTTTTGCGACAAAGACCCCCTTTTACTATGATTATGAGACAAAGACCCCTTTCTGTTAGCTTTTCGTTCAAAAAGGCCATTATAATATTTTTTAATCTCCATATTACCCTTATAAATATTGTTCATCTTTCTCCACCTTCCTTCACATTTCTCTCTCTGCTCTCTCTCTCTCTCTCCGATCTCTCTATCAAGTTGGATTGGCTATGAAATGAAATGAAACGTTCTTTTGATTGGACAGTGTACAAGCTTAGAAAAAATAAATAACAAAGAATAGTATTTTGGATGTATACGATTATGAGGGAACCCTACAACCACCAAAAAGATATAAAAAAAAGGAACAAAGACAATTTACGTGACTTCTTCTGATTTCGCAATCGCAATGCAACCTATTTTAATTTTAGGGATTTAAAGATAAAGTCTGAAGCATATAAGCAAGCAACCAAACCGCGAAAAGGTCATATCATTATAAGCTGTCATATCGTATGTAAGAAAAAGCTCATATTCTTAATTATAGATAGATCATCGGATAGTTGGTCGTGGTTTTGGTCTTGTTCTTGGTTTCCATGTGGCTCATTGTGATAAGAGAGAAAAAAACAAGTTAGGGTTTGTTGAGGTTTTATTTTGTTTTTATCCATCAATATAAAATGAGATGAAAAGGTGCATTGTAGATGGTGATGAATTGTTCATACTGATCGTTATATTATGATGTATGTTGCAGCTCGAGGGCTTGATACCACCATCGATTGGCAGACAAGGATAAAAAGAGAGATCGGGGGAGAGAGAGAGAGCAGAGAGCAGAGAGAGGGAAAGAGAGAAATGTGAAGGAAGGTTGGGGAAGATGAACAATATTTATAAGGGTAGTATAGGGATTAAAAAATATTGTAACGGCCTTTTTGGATGGAAGGCTAACAGAAGGGGGTCTTTGTTTCACGATCATAGTATAGGGGGGTTTTGTCGCAAAACAAAGTATAGGGGAGTCTTTGTAATTTACCCTAAAAAAATCTAGATAATCGGTTCAGTTGTGATAGACTAGTGGTTAAACTTGTGTATACATAGTGATCAATTTTGTAACTTATAAATGCATAAAAAATACTAAAGTTGACCAAATATATGAACAACAGTTAGGAAACATATTCAATAATGTCCTCCGAGAAAAACTTCACTTATAATGCATAAAACAATTTTTACCTAAAACTAGTGATGTTACCTGATATGGGAAGAGCTTTGATCAATCAAAACTCAAGTGAAGTTTGATAAATATCACCTGATTGGTAACCACCTTTATCATATCGTTCGACTGGTTACAAGTTTAATAGGAATCGTATTTTATTGGTTACCACCTTTAAAGATAATTTAGTGTACTTTTAGAAATTTACCATGTGATTGATACTCAATATATCATTTTGATCATTTCTATCATCAAATTGAATATTGGGTTAAAGGGACAGTGTTTTCAAAATTGGATCAAACCAGATGGTTAGACTGGAAAAATTGGGAATCGGACACCGTTTCACCTCAAAATCGCTTTTTGTCCAAAAACTGTTTATTTGGTTAGCGAACCGTTGACCTAGGCGGTTAAACGATCAACCTGGACAATAGTTTTTGGCCTTTTTTATTTTTCTATTTTTTTTTGTTAGAGCGGGTCATCCGTTCAGACCGAACAGTCAAACTGTTCGACCCTAGAACGGTTCCCTATCCGGTCTAATTTTAAAAACCTTGGATGAAGAGTAGGTGCCTTGCCTTGAGCTTGGCTTGGTGTGTGGCATGGCCTGGCCCAAGGCCCAGCCCGACCCGTGACACGGCACGGGCCCGTGCGGGCTCAAGCCATGGGTCGTGCTGAACCGACCCCCAAATTATCTCAGAGGAGGGAGGCACGGCCCGGGATGCCTCGTGGGCCAGCACAGCACGACCCAATTTACACCTCCACTTGAACTCACCCAATACTAGGAATGGGGTAGGGAAATTCGAGGATTCTCCATCTTAAATGAGGAGTGGGGTGCCTTGCCCCTGAATTCGCCTATTAGTTACCTTGCCCTAAACCCGCGTGGCACTGGAGACAGGGCGGGGATGGGGTAGAGAGTCTTGACTATGGGGCAGGGAAAGGGATGTGGTGCCCTGCCCTGAACCCACCACATTGTCATTCCTATATAATTGTTAATTATTAGTGGAATTAATAAAAATGTTAGCTTTTATAATTATTTTTTTATTTAAAAATTAATCAAAATTTAATTTAAAATAATAAAAAGAATAGAAATTATTAAAATTACTATAAATTATTAAAACTAAATTTATTAAAAAATATTTGTTCATATTCAATTAACAATAATTATTTTCTAAAAATCAGCATTAAATGAAAAATAAAATTATTACATCTTTCAGATTTTGTCGTGCATTGCACGGGTCCCTGTTAGTAATTATTGATAATTTTCTATTAAATAATAAAAATAAAAATACACTTATAAATAATTATTGAAAGCATATTTATAAGAAAACAATAAATAATTACTGAAAATAAAAAAATATTAATTATTGTATATATAAATATATAATGAATATACACTATTATTGTAAAATTATTACTAATAAATATAATTTTGTTGATAGTTATTTTCTATAATTATTAATTGATACAAGTGAAAATATTTATTTAATAAACCATAAAATTATAATTGTAATATTATTACATAGTTCGGTATTAATATTGTAAAATATTAAATTATTATTAATATGAATATTATGAATTCTATTATAATTATTTTTCTACTTTTAAGATTTTTTTTTTAATTTATTACATAATTTTGTTATTTTAACTATTTAAAATTTTGTCATGTTAAATATTTTGTTATTTAAATATTTAAATAATATGTAAAATATTTAAAAATTTTCATTATTTGAATTTTATTTATTTTAATGTTATTACGTAATATTAAATATTTTGTTATATTACTTAGCTATTTTTAATGTTTTTTATTTAAGATATTTAGTTATTGGAATATTTAAAGAATGTTTTTATTTTTTAATGTTAAATTTTTATTATTTGAATAACATTTAAATTAAATAATTCGTAAAATTATAATTTATATTGTTAGTACATAATTTCATGATGAAGTTTGTAAAAATATTGAATTATTAATAATATGAATATTATTAAATATATTAATTTTTTGTGTTTTGAATAAATAGTTATGGTTTTTTTAATTGCAGCTTTCTTTAGATAGATATAGAAAAAAAGTGGGGGAGAGGTTAAATAGGAGGAAGTGGAGGGAAAGTGGTGCCACTTGGCTAGATATTAGAAAAGCAAATCCCTCTTTCTTTATGGTTGTTAGAAATAGTTAAGCATATGTGATTTCGTTATTGGTTTAAAGGGTAATTATGTGGAATTAAAAAAAATAAAAATTAAAAAAAAACAGAAAATTAGGAAGGGGGTTTGAAGCAAGGAGAGGTATGGTGATGTAGACAAACCAATTTTAATATATATATATATACACTAGTGGGTCCTCATGGAAAAAAGACATTAGGGTTTATTGCTCTATGGGGCTACACAACTTGAGGGTAGGGATGACAATTTTCTCTATCCCCATCAGAGTACTCGGCCTCCCTAACCAAGTGGGGATGGGATGGAGACTGCCTTAGTGGGGATAGGGTGGGGATGGGATTAATAGGAATACCTGATTGGGGACGGGGAGTGAAATACACAGCTCGCCCCGACCTCGATTATATATTAAATATATGTGTATATATATTTATATTAAATATATAATATTTTTTATGTTATTTATAATATTTTTTATATTGTATATATCAATTATATGTAAAATATTATTTGCGTTTTAATTTTTTCTTTATTCTAAATAAATACCTTTCTGAAAATAAACTTTTTTATTAAAAAATTCGAGGATTTAGGTCCCTGATGGAGTGATGGGAACTCATCTCTAATGGGGATCAAGGATGCAGGCTAAATTTTTTCCCGACAAGGATTAATTTAAACCTCAAGGTTGGGACAAGGAATATGATCCTTGTCCCAAACCCACCCATTGTCATTCCTAATAGGGGTCATCCCCCCAACCCATAAATATAGTTCCAATAAGTATGGTAATTATGAATGTAGCATCCAATCATATGAAAATTATTAAAATTTGATAATTATATATTTGAATAATTGGAAGTATTATAATTTAAGTTTCACTAAATTTAATTATCAAAATCAGTAATATTTAGTAATTAAATTACCAAAATCACTAATTATTGCTAAAAAATTATTGTATAAAAATATAAAAAAAATTATATTTGTTATAATTAATTTTCCACTGAAAATTATTGAAAATTTTAATTATTATATGATAATATCATTAAATATTAATAAATTGACCAAAATTACTAAAAATATCAATGACTACTTATTGCTAAATAATTATTGATAATATCAAAATTACTAAAAGTGTAAAAAATAAATTTATATTTATTGAAATAAAATTTCCAATGAAAAACCAATAATGTTTAACCAATTATTAACTTTCAAATAATTATTGATTTCAATAATTAATTTTCAAAAATTTCTGAAATTAAATTACCAAAATCAATAATTTTTATCGAGTAATTTGTAGTAATTAATTTTTCCAATTTACCAAAATTGTGCCAAAGAAACACAAGCTTATTTGGTTCCATTTTTCTAGAAAACACAAAGGAAACGACTACGCCTCGTAACTCGAGAATGTGCGGTATGAGAAAATGTAGAATTTAACGTTTTTCTATTTTTGCATTCGTTGCTACCAATGACTGAGATCGGATCTGCTCCTCACACAGGGCGCCTCACACCGACTTCACAAGTACATCCCACCGTGTATTAGAAACATCTCCCTACTTATGTGTTATTATTTACGGGAGATGTTCCCAATGCACGGCGGAATGTGCCTGTGAGGTCGTTGTGAGGCACCCTATGTGAGGAGCATATCCCAATTCAAAAATTGCTATTGATGTGGCAATTTGCTGGAGATCTAGACCATTGATGGATATCTGCACCATCACCAGTCTACAACGAGATCTACACCATCACCAGTTTGCAACCTCTACACTATCACTAGTCTGCAACGAGATCTACACCATTGTCGGTCTACAATGAATCTACTCCATCATTGGTCTACAATGAATCTACACCATTACTAGAGATCTACATCATCATCGGTTTACAATGAGATCTACACCATCACCATTGCTGGAGATCTACACCATCACCATCATTGGAGATGTACACCATCACTGTTGGAGTGTCGTTTGAACAAATATTACCTATTTTAGCCAAGGTTTAAAATTTTGATACGATACGCCCGATACGGGGCGTATTGTATCGTATCTTTGAAAAATAGATACGGGATACGCATGGAAATTAGACGTTTCGTCTTTTTTCATGCATATCGGACATGTATCAGCGGCATATTGGGGGTGTACCAGGGCATATTGTTAGCGTATCAATGAAAAAGATACGACCAAAAACTATAAAAAAAAATTAAAGGGGGGAAAGCAAGCTTCTTTTCCCCGAAATAAGCCTTCTTTCACCCCAAATGACTCTAAAACTCCAAACTTCATTCCTAGAGTGCTAGATTTGCAAAAGTTTGCAAGAAATAAGTGTGAATCATTAATCTTTTTAAAGATTTTCCAAATTTTGAAAAAGTATGGAAAAATAGGTATTTTTTAATTTTTTATAATATCTTGTGATTTTTTTTCTTGAATGTTTAAATTTATGTTGATCTACATTTCTTACATTCAAAATCATAATTTTTTTGTGTTATCAGTAGATTTACGGAAATTTCATGAAGATATTTGGGGAAAATATAAATTAACAAAAAATTTGGAATTTCTTCTTAAATATGTTTTAGATCTATGGATTATCTATCATATCCATAGAGCAATTGAAATTTCTTCTTTAAATATTTTTTTATATATTTTTAGAATTAAAAATAAAAAATAATTAATTATATTTTATCATTTGATCACAACAATTAATTATATGGATGATCTATTATATCCACAAACTAATTGAAATTTCTTCTTTAATAATTATTTTTTTATTTTATATTTTTAGAATTAAAAAATAAATAAATAAATTATTATATTTTATTATTTGATCACAATGATTGAATATATCATGGTTTTTAAAAACGAACCAATGATCGAACCGGTCAGGGGTTCGATTACCGGTTCGAATAGTCCGACCGTTTGACCCGTTTTGACAAAAACAAAATTTAAAAAAAAATAAAAAATTGGAAAACGATCAAAACCGTTCAAACAGTTAATTGGCCGGTTCAACGGTTTGTTGACCAAAATCAATGGTTTTGGGGGAAAAAGCGGTTTTGGAGGAAAACGGAACCGGTCAGGACCGGTTCCTGGTTTTTTCGATCTGACCGTCTGGTCCGGTTTTGAAAATAGTGGAATATATTATAATTCTATGGATGATCTATCATATCCACAAAGCAATTGAAATTTCTTCTTTAATAACTATTTTTTGAATATGTTATATAATATTTATTTTTTATAATTTTTGGAAATGAATAATAAATAATTATTAATTATATTTTCACATAGAAATTGTGCCAATGCATGTTTTATGGTTGGATAGGAGAGTTAGGTTTTTCCCATCCCATAAAACATTAAAACTTAAGAATTATAATTTATAAATTATAGTTAAGCATAGGATTTTTAATGAAATTATTATTAGTTACAATATATTTCTTCATAAAACCATTAAAATATATTAATTTAATGTATATACACCTCATTGAGGTCTTATATGTAGTGTTGTTGATGTATTTTTATGATTTATTAAAGTATTTATAGTGTTTCCAAGCATATCTATGCATATCTTAGTTTTTCTCCGATACGCATGTGTATCCAAGGCATATCTCAATACGTCTCTTAAAATCGTCTTTCCAATACACTTGGAGTTTCCGATACTTTTAACCTTGATTTTAGCATCTACTTGCTCCCTTATTTGCCCAAGTGGCAACATCAATGCCAAACAGAAAAAAAAGAGTTGCTTTCTCATAAAACGGTGCAACATAGCTCATCCATAAAATATTGTTTTTCTTAGAAAATGGCTTTGAGGCAACAACATCAATGCCAAACACCAACTTAACTAATTAATTTAACCACCTTTTTTGTTTTTAGATGGTTTTCTTGGCATGTAATATAGATTAAGGTGTTTTTGGAGGAATTTTTGATGGGAGAGAGTTTCTGAAAAATTTTAGGAGAGAGGTTGGCTAAGTGATTAGGAACATGAGAGAAAGGGAGGGAGAGAGAGAGAGTTGGAGTGGGCCTCTAGTGAGATGAGAGGTAGTTTAGGAGAAATTTTATGAAGGGGGTTGGCTAAATGATTGGGAACATGAGAGAGAGAGAGAGTTGGAGTATGACTCTAATAAATAGGAGAGGGTTGCTGATGTGGCATTTATATATTTCAGAATTATCAAACACCACTTCACCGCTCAAATTGGAATTGAAATTGGACTAATTTTCAACAATTTGTTAAAAATAGTTGGGTCATTGAAATTGGACTAATTTTCAACAATTCCATGGGATTTTGACCAATTTGATAATTTGATCCGTGGCGTTTGATAACACTTTTCAGATGCATTTGGTTTTATGTTTGATTTGAAGTTTTGAACCACTAATTCAGATCTGAAATGGTAAGAGCTTGCCTAGCAATTTAACTTGCTTAGACACATTTTAGATATTGCTTTATGTCTTAAATGCCCCTAAACATTTTGAAAATGACCAATATTACCCCTTAATATGCCCATTTTGAACCCTAACATCAACGCCCTTTCAAATGGGAAATGGCTCCTCTTGTTACTAGTTCATCCTATGCCATTCATCATCTTCTCCTTTCTCTTTTGTTCCCTCTATTTCCTTGCACCATGGTTTTTAAAAATGAAATCGGTCAGGGTCCGATTACCAGTTCGAACGGCCGGTTCGTTCTAACAAAAAAAAAAAAGGAAAACGGTCAAAACCGTTCGAACGGTTAACCGGCCGGTTCAACGGTTTATTGACCAAAATCAACGGTTTTGGAGGAAAAAACAATTTTGAAGGAAAACAGAACCGGTCAGGTGACCGATTCCCGGTTTTTCCGGTCTGACCGTCTGGTCCGATTCGGTTTTGAAAACAGTGCCTTGCGCCATTCATCCTATGTTGCTATTCTTCTCTGTCTCCGAACAAAGAAAAGCGAAGATGAAGCCATCACCAACTAGCTCCACTCACAGCTCCACGATGACGATGGCATTGCTATTCTTTTATTTCTTCTGTCTTCGAGAAGATGAAGTCATCCTGAGACATCGATTTCTCACAGCTCCAACTAGTTCCACTCAAAACTCTATGGTGATGATGGACATCAATGACGCCAATCCGCTCAATATGTTGGTCAATGGTCGAGGGTATTAACGCCAACAACAAAATTATGGATGTCAATTTCTTCAACTCTTTTGAGGATGATTTGGATGACACCAACATCAATTTAACAAAATAACTCTAATCTTTGCCCTAGAAGTTTTCTGAGAAAACTCGGTCTTTCGTTTTTTGGTAGTCCACCTTTTACTTATTTGTTTGATTGTTTCAATGAATACAAGGGTAATTTTGAATTCAAATTTAAGCAAATATCTTGTTTTTGGGTAAAATAGTAAAATCCAATCATTTCAGATGTTGGAAAATGTTCCAATAATAAATTTTCACTTTTTAAATTTCAGAGACTGTATGAATTTGGTACTTGATAGGGCCATTAGGGTTTGAAACACATTTTATTGGCAAGAAATCCGGACTCTTTTAGCGATTCGAATCTGAATACGAATGAATTCAACTTATGTGCAAATGCGACCCCGACCCCACCTGACGAGTAGAACGGCATGAGGCAAAAGGCCAAATGTCATCTCTCCGTGTGTGAAGCGAAGACATGAACTCTAAAACCCCGGTTCTCTCTCTTTCAAACCCCTTTCTCTATGTAGTTATATCTTATCCACTCCCCCCGCAAGGAAGAGAGGAAACAGAGAAATGGCGTCTCTCTTATCCTACGCACCTCTTTCCTCAAAATATATTACCGGAAAAACTGGAAAATTCTCTTATAATACGGACTCCAACTTCTTCTCCACTTGCTCCCCGAGCTCTCGAAATGTAGTCGTTGTAGCTGCAATTTCGACTTCGGAGAAGAAGGCTAGGAGAAAAAAACATGCCAAAGGAGATGATTCTGCTGCTTCTAATTCTTCCTCTTCTTCTACTGCTATATCGGCTGCCGAGAAAGGGCTGAGGCTTTCTTTCATGGAGGAGCTTATGGAACGTGCCCGAAGTCGCGATGTTGCCGGAGTTTCTGAAGTCATGTATGACATGATTGCCGCTGGACTCAACCCTGGTCCTCGATCATTTCATGGTTTGATTGTCGCCCATGCACTAATAGGCGATGACGAGGGCGCGGTAACCGTTGTTTCTATTCTCTCTTTTGTTGTGATTCGATTGTTATGTTGTATGAATAATGTACTGGGAAAAAATGGAAGTGGGAAAAAAAAACTTAAGATATTGATAAAAAAAAAAAAAAAAACTTAAGACCAACCCTGTATTCATTGTTAACTCATGTCATAAATAAGATGAAATAAAGATAACAAAAATGGAAGAAGGAAGAGAACCAGTTGGGCAAAAAACAAAATCCCACATGCTCTCTCTCTCTCTCTCTGATAAATGGGAAAATGTTATGTTATAATATGTAAATGAAAAGGGAGGGCAAGGCACCCTCCACTATACAAGTATAACAAAAACTTCTCAAAAAGTATCACTATGCATTTTTCTCTCTCTTTATCTTTAAGCTAGAAATACCCAAACTACAAAACAGGCCCCCATGAGTCTGATATTAAAGTCTCTGAATAGTGGTACAACTAAATACTAGCATTTTAAGGGGGTTAACTATTATTGCATAACATATAATGGCATGCATAGTGCATCCATGGTGTATTCTGCAGACACTATTTTTTTGACCGGTAGAAAGTAATTTTATTAATGCAAACTTAAAGATTACAAGAGGGTGGGTGTAAAATCCACCCCAAACAACAAGAGTTTACCTATTTACCCAAAACAATTGCTGTATTAAAGCCCCTTGTTTGGCTAATGTGTCTGCCATTCCATTTGCTGTTGTTCTCACTTCTCATCCTTTAAAAGAAACTTTTAGCCCCTTATTAAGTTTTCAATCTCCCTAAATTTGTACCAGGAAACCCAAGGGATTTGGGTACTGCATCTTGTCCAAGAGATGACCACTTGAGAGTCCCCTTCCATCTCTAGATTGTGGAAACCAATTTGTTTAGAAAACTTTAACCCCGGTAGTAAGCCGACCAGTTCTGTTGTCAGTGCATCATCATGCTCCAAAGTCACCACTCTTCCTTCTGGATCTTTGAAGACACCTCCTACTAGGGGTGTCAATGGACTGGTTTTGGGTTGGACTTCGTCCAAATCAAAATCCATTTGGACGGATTGGATGGACCAATAAGACATATTGAATTTGAATGGACTGGATGGACCAATATGACATATTGGACTGGACCTGGTCCGTCCATAATGAATTTATATTGGATTGAGACAATATCTGGTCCATTGATAGAAGATAAGAACATAGGTGTCAATAGACCAGGTTTGAGTTGAAACCAATCTAAATTAACAGGAATTTGAATAGATTGGACAGTCTTTGGACCAGTCCAAAATATTCATTGAACTGGATTGGACTAGGTCCATTTATAATGGACTCACATTTGACTGGACCGGATTGGACCAAATCCTGTCCAATTGACACCCTACCTCCTACCCCAGCTAGTCCAATATTGCCTATAGATGCCAGGGGTTTCCATACCATAATTAGGCCCTGTTTGATGATTAAGTGGTTGTTAAAAGAAGTACTTGTTGCACGTAGAAGTACTTATTTTAACAACCACTTAAGGCTGTTTGGTGACCCACTTGCCAAATCACTTATTATGTTTTTAAACACTTATTGGGGTGAGGATGTTTGGTAAGCTATTTTCCCCATAAGTTCTTATATTGACACAAATGACAATTTTAGCCCTCACTTCACTCATACATATATACAAAAAAACCAAAAGAACACCAAACATGGAGGGGAAGAGTTGGGTGAACTAACCTCCTTGTCGCCGGTGGCTGGATAGTGAGATTGTTGCCGTTAAACTCTTCCAAAGTGCAGATATGTGAACATAACAAACAGGGGAGTTTCAAGTTTTAAAAAACCCAAGAAAATGATTTAATGAGAAGAAAAACTTCATAACATGGAAGAAAATGGCAAAACGACAGGTCCACCGACCATTTTTCCTCACTGCCGATTGTCACCGGTGGACCTGTGATTGGGTGCGCCCCTACCTGGTTCGCTATGTTTGAATGAGGGGAGATGGAGGTAAAACCCTCATACGGGGGTATTTTGGGTATTAAAAGAAAATACCAGAGACTGGTCCATCCCATTCTATTGGAGAAGTACTCCAAGAAGTGCTGAAAAAAAGCCAACTTCAAGTCACTTTTTTAAGAAGTACTTTTAACAAAAAGTACTTCATCCCCACTTTTTTACCAAACACACACTTAATAACCACTTAATGTGTGGTCCCAACTCTTAAAAGAAGTACTTCTCAGAAGTGAAATCAAACAGGGGCTTAGTCTTTTCTTTTCTTGAGCTGAGAGTGCCACCTCTTTCTAAGTTCTCAAAATATCATTTGGTGAGAAATTTTGGAAAGCATCCAAAGTTTTCACCCACCGTGCAACTTTTATTTTAATTAAGTCAATGATTTCTACCTCAACCCTTCTCTTATCATTGAAAATTCTTCCATTCCTTTCTTCCCAAATGGTCCAGACCACAGTTGCCCTCATTGCTTTCCAAAGTAATCTTCCTCTTTTTTTTTTTTTTTGATCAATACCTCCTATTTTCTTTGCATGTATCAAGAAATTAGGATCAAAGAGGCCCCCCACATCCTGAGGCACCCAAATAGAGAACAAAGATGCTTCGAAATACAAAGCACAAAAGAACAAAAGAGCAGGATATGAAAATATGGCCAATAGTTTCATCATTTTCATTGCAAAGAAAAGACATGTAAGGGGGATAGGCTTTTATTTGGCCTTCTTTTCTGCAGCACATCACAAGTGTTAATCTTTTTGAGAAAGACCTAACAGAAGGCCTGAACTTTAGGAGGAATATGCTTTTTTTTCCCCAATAAATAGGCTTGTACCAAATTTCTTTTACTAGGAAATTAACCCCCAAGGTATTTAGACTGCAGACACTTTTTTGAATCATGCCTGTAGTTTTTTGCCCCCACAATACACAAACACATGTTTAGTATATATTTACTATAATTTTTTTATGTATGTTGCAGTACAATCTATTTGTTTTATAGACACTTTATATGTTTCCTTTTTGTTACATATATGTTCCCTTTAATCAATGATTAAAATATTGATATGCCCAATACCCTTAAGTGGGTATTGGTGTGTATTGATATGACTGATACAATTTGGTAACTATGAAAGGTTTTAAAAGGTATAAATGGTAGAGACAAGGCAGTTGGATCTCAGAGAGAGAGAGAGAGTCTATATATTGCCTTTTTATTACATATATTTTCCATGTATGTTCAACACAATTTATTTCTTTTATGGCCAATTTATATATTGCCTTTTTATTACATATATTTTCCATGTATGTTCAACACAATTTATTTCTTTTATGGCCAATTTATATATTGCCTTTTTATTACATATACTCTTTTTAATTTAATATGGATCCTACATTTTTGAAATTTTATTTTGTACTTTGTTTTACACTTATAATTAGCTCTATTTAGATGAAGTAATCAATTTATTTTATTTAGTTCATACATACACACAACCAGACACACATACACACACATAAACTACTTTATAACATCAAACTAAAATTACTTATATTTTCATCATAAGAGGGCATTTATTATAATTTCTTTATTTATTTCATAGCTAGTTTATTTATAAAAATATATATTTAATTGTATTTTGTATATTCTTTTTAATCTTACTCCCATGCTTTTTGAAAATTTGTTTTGAACTTTCTTTTATGTTTTTAACCCATTCTATGTTTTAATAGGCTGATTAGATGATATGTGTGCCTCACCAATTTTGAGGTGAAAGGCAGTGAAGTGCATGTCTCATTATATTTGAGGCCTAAGCCTCGGATGATACATACATGGCAGTTGAGGCTAGGCATTTCAGCTACACTTTGCCCCGAGGTGTGTGCCTCAACGGCTTTTTAAGCCATGGTTCAATGTGATCAAACAGATCCCATATTTTTGCATTTGATCCATCTGAACCAACATATACCTCTAACCCATATACTTCTTGGCATTGGACCTTCTAGTTCCTTCCGTTCCATTCCTCTTTCTTGAGAAAGTACATTCTTTTTTGAAGGTTAGGACTTGGGATTTACATGAGTATTCACTATTCACTTGATGTTTTGTTATCTGGATTTCAGAGTTTACTCTTACTGGAGAACTGCTATACTCAATGCAGATGCAATCACTGCGAAGGGAGTTGAGTGCAGGGCTTCGCCCTATCCATGAAACATTTATTGCATTAATTCGTTTATTTGGATCCAAAGGACATGCTACAAGAGGGTTGGAAATTCTTGCTGCGATGGAAAAGCTAAATTTTGACATACGCCAAGCTTGGCTAGTTCTTGTTGGTGTGATATCTCTTTATCCTTTTGTTGCTTAAGCTATTGCTTTTATGCAAGAAATTATATTCTTGGAAGCTGATCTTCTTTAATCAACTTGTTTAAACTAGAGGAGCTTGTCAGAAGCAATCATCTAGATGATGCAAATAAAGTGTTTCTAAGGGGTGCTAAAGGAGGATTGAAAGCGACTGATGAGCTATATGATCTGTTAATCGAGGAGGATTGTAAGGCTGGGGATCATTCCAATGCTTTAACTATTGCCTATGAAATGGAGGCTGCTGGGCGAATGGCAACCACTTTTCATTTTAACTGTCTTCTTAGTGTGCAAGTAAGTTAGAGCTATATGATCTGTTTGGCTGAGAAGTTTGAAGTTCTTTGGTTCTAATTATAGCTCTCATTTTCTTACATTTTACTGTTTAGCTAGTTTTTGCAGATAATTTTAGGGTTGGTTATGTCATGTAAACTGATCCTAATTATAGATATAGTCATTTAGTGACAGTTGGAGAGCAAGGTGAATGGGATTTTGGTTGAAGCAAGTAACTTTCTACTTTTTTCCATGGGTATTTGCTACACCATATTGGTGCCAGTGCCACAAATGTGCTTGTAATATAAGGCCAGAGAATCTGGTTCAAGAAGATCTCCTTACAAATGTTATTTTTCTGATAAAGCTATCTTTGCAAAAAGCAGCAATAGATCATAATAAAAGCATGAAACAAATAAAAACACAGGCAGCCAAAAGATTAAAGAGGACAAAAAAGCCACTACTCCACACCCAAACTTAGAATTCTGGGGATCATTTTTTGGTTTCCCAGACTGATCATTGTACCAACTAAAATAGTTCCTTTCAGATGTCTATTATTTATGTGTTAAAATTCATAGTTTCACTGATAAATGCCACAAAATTAAAGCTATCTTCATCTTCAGCTCCTTCATGAGAATTCTATATCACTGAACAACATTTGGCTGTTTTTTTTAAAGTAAAATAGAATATTTTTTTGATCAGTAACTGACCTTTTTATTAAAGCAAATTAATGTTCAATTTTACATACACCCATTGGAGTGATAAAAAGATTTTATCTCCACAAATTCAAACTTTCCTTATACTTGCCTGGAAGATATGCTCTCTCCCCTCCACTTTGTTGGGCTAATTTATCAGCCATACTGTTTGCTGTCCTTTGAACCCATTGGAATCTTCCATTTCTCTAGTCAGCCAAAACAACATTTTTAAGTCATTGCTATACCGCCAAGGAGCTGCATCCCCATTCTGTAGCCACTCCATCACCAGTCTTGAGTCTTTCTCAATAATTAGCTTGTTGGCATTCATCATCCTTGCCCTCTGTGCCCTTTCCATACCATGATCTCTGCCCTTAGAGAACCTCCCACTCCAATTGATCCTGAGAATACAGCCACTATAAGCCCTTTCTCCTCCCTAAAGATGCCTCTAATACCTTAAGGTCCTGGAATTCCCCTATTGCTTCTATCAAAGTTGAGCTTGACGAACCCTTCATTTGGGGGAGGTCCAACTTCTGCAAATCAATGCCTTTTTGTTAGAAATCCCCGCCACCTCTCTCCACTTCCTTATGATGTCTACTGAAAAGGTTGAGAATCTCTCCAAAGATTGAATCCAATAAATCACTCTAATAGTGATGCATTCTATTATTGCTTCTGAAGTTCTTTCTTTCTCTTTGAAAATTGAAGCATTTCTTTCCTCCCATACCATCGAAATAATTGCAGCCCTAATGCATTTTCACATGATCCTTCCCCCTCTTCTTTTATTTTGAATTTTTCATCTTATATGAGGTTAACTTTTTTTTTTGTCTCCTCTTTCTTCTGGTGATTAGTTTTGCTGTGTTGGCCTTTGTTCTTGAATGATGTTAAAGGTCAACTAGTTTTCTTAATATACGAATTTACGAAATTAAATTGAGTGAAGTTACATATTTTACATTTGGAAAATATTTAGTGTACCAAGATGACTGTTGGAAAACAAGGACAAATGCATTTGAGGAGACAATAAAACTAAAAATTACAGCAGGGTTGCCAAGTTCATTTTATTCTTCTTCACTTCTTGACTCTTGTAAATTGTAAAGTCTCTTTGAATATGAGGTTTTATTGTGTTGTTGGGGCAATAAATAAACCATGCATACTTGATCTCTTTTTTTGGATAGATCATGCATGCTTGATCCTTGCATCAATTGTCTTTTAATAGGTTGTACGCCTGCTGTTTCTGGCTCTTTGGATTGCACAAATAGAGTAATTTTTTGAACATAGCACCAACTGAAATTGTTCTCATTTTGTGTAGGCTACCTGTGGGATACCGGAGATAGCTTTTGCAACATTTGAGAACATGGAATATGGAGAAGGTTTTCAGTTTCCATTCTTAACTTTCTGCATGAAACAAATCTGTTGTTCTGGAAGTAGTTTTAAGTTGAAGAGCACTGTTTGTAAAATTGTTGTGATGGATTTTTATCTATTAAATAAAGAAGAGTCTGAGTTGTTTTTTCCCTTCTGGTTTCTGATAGGGTGTAAATGTAAGGTAGATTCAATAATTTGTCTTTGGGAAATTATTTCTTTATTTTGCATTATCTTGTTTGAATGTATATGCCCATTGGTATTGCAATGTAAGTTGAAATATATAAAAGTTACCTTCATGTTGAAAGGCACTTAAAGATTGGCCCTGCTAAATAAGTAGTCATCTTACTTCTGGTATCAACTTATGGAATCTTTTTATGATTGTGGGGTAGTACAGTTCAATCCATGGAAGAACCTATAACACTCAGACTTCTGCTTCTTTTCTTTCTATACTAACAAATAATCCCTTATGTTTGAGACTCCGAGGTAAATAAACAATTTTTTTATAGTAAATAAAATTTCATTAAAAAAGAAAAACAGATAACACATACAAATATTGGTGAAAAGGAATCACCTCCTACAAACAAAAGATCCCTCTCCAAACCCCACCTCTGACTGACAAGGATCAACAAATCCAGTCCCACCCAACCAATTGTACATACACAGAAAACAACCATAAAACTCAACAAAGTACCACCATGACCAATCAACCCAAACAACTTCAAGAACCTTCACCACCATATCTGGAATTCACCTCAATGATTCAGATAGCCTTCTTCTACCTAAATAAAATTTGCCTCCACAAAAGTCTTTCATGACAGAGAAAGCTCCCCAATCTCTAACAACAAGACAAAAAACTAGACCAAAATATTATGACTCCTTACTACCTTTTTTTTCCGTTCTAAAAGCTAACTCCAAGAAAACTTTCCTTGCAAAACCTTCTCCTCTGAGAAAGAACAAACTCAGTTCCTTACTAAATTGATCCTCTTTTTCAACTATGACATCCTTATCCAACTTTTAGTTTGTTTCATGAACTTCATCCACAGGGGTGTCAAGTGTCAACACCATCTTCCTCTTGAGTCAAAACTGTCTGATATTTTTCTACCCTGGCACCCATCCTCCTCCTCGATGTCTGAAGAAGCAACAAATAAGACTGAGTTATACATCCTAGGTTGATTATTGCCACCCTGTGACCAGCATTCACATTTGTAACCTTTTCAAACTCCACTGTTGTCCCTATGAGACTCAGTTAGAAATGCCAACATCTTTTTTATTTAAGCCAAGAGTGATACTTAAAAATGTTTTACTCTAGCAAAGGTTCAAGTTGTTGAGTTTTAAAGTTATATTCCATAGAGTAAACTTGTTAATCAGATTAACTTATATGTTGCTTTAAACTTTTCTACTAGTTTCTATATTTTAAATTTCATTGCAGGAGTAGGTTTTGGGCGAGTTTTGAGCTGTGGATGTCCTCTTTCATTTCGCATCCAACAGCTGAACCTCTAGTTGCCCATGCATCTCCCCTGCAATAATAGAACCTTTAGTAACAGTTACAGTTTTCCCTGTACTATGGTATCAAAATTGCTACCATGCTTAAGAAGTTGCTACCTTCTTGGTTTCATTAATCATTGTTATTCTTACATAATGCATATATGTGTTGGTATAAAAATTTAGGGAAATTGATTATAAAAGAACAAGGAGATTTAAAGGTCCACTTTGATTTTTTAAGCAACATTGTCAGACTTAGACGGACTGGATAGTTGAACCATCTGAACCGCAACCCAGGGGCTATTCCTTGTTTTAGAAAGGCTGCTTTTTCAAAATTTTCAGAAACCAGTTGAATGTTGAATTACCGCCGAATCAGGTTATATTTGAGAGTTAATTCCAGAAAATGCATTAAGAAGGTTTGAAACCAAGCATTTTCCTTGTGAGCTAAAGCACAAACCACTAAAGCCACAGTTCTATGTGTTTAAAACCACTTATTTGATTCATATGCATTAAACATCTATTTTTATTTTGTTACAAAATACATTTGAGGTGATTTAAAACAGCTTACATACATAAAAATGAGATATCTAACCATTAATCCACAACTAAAGTATATGTTAAAATTCTAGCTATATAATTATGACATCATGGGCCATTGCGTTGACCCAGCAGTCAGATGACCCATGATCCAGTGACTAAAATGGTTTTGTCTGGTTCGAGTATCACAACATTGTTTTTAACCAACTGGGTAGCCCCTTGCTTTTTAAAGGAGGGACTTATGTTGGCTTAAAATTAACCCAAAAAGAAAAGGCCTGCTTGCTGGTCCATTAAGTTAATAAGTCCTATCAAGTGGCCCTAAACAAAAAGGTTTATGGGTCTTTAAATCAGCCTAGCAATTATTTAAAAAAGAAAGACTAAGATGCAACCTGGTACATCTTAATAAGGTAGCCCCATCTTTTGTACATACTTGACCATCAAAGTATTGACAATCAGGAATCAGATTCTGTTTTGGCAATATGAGATTGGGTGTTAGAGGTGGTGCATGTTGGCTCTACTCAAGCTTGTAATCGAAGTTACATAAACCATTCTTTTTCCTCTGTGGTGATGTTTTGCATTACCAATTCACTGTTTATTTAGGAGGGTTCTCTCCTTGTCTGTTTTCAGGAGTGGGATTTGGGATGGTTCATGGCTGTTAAAATTGTTGTATTCCTTCAAGGTTTCCTAGATGCTCATTACTTGTTTTGCATTGCAGATTATATGAAACCTGATACAGAGACATATAATTGGGTGATTCAAGCTTATACCAGGGCTGAATCATATGATAGGTAAAACTAACTTATTCATGATCAAGTTTCATTTATCGGACTGAATACTTTACAGACTTGAACTTGGAGTCTAGTCATTAATTTCAGTATGCTGTTTTTTCCCAGTAAGTTAAACAATTTGTATGAAAATTCTTGAAAGAATCCTGATCTGTCCAAACTAGACAGCAGGGACAATACAAAGAGCAGCATAATGCTGACTGAACAAGAAAAAGTAAAAATAGGGCTTGCTTCTAGTGAACCTTGCTCTCTCCTCATTGATCCCTATTGTTGAGTCCATGTTTCTTTTTTTTTGATAATAAATAACAAAGAAAAAAATTATTAAGAAGTAATAGGATTACAAGAGAGGTGATAAGGTATCACACACAAAAAAATGAAAGCAACCAAGGTTCCCAACACCACCATAAGCTTTCCATGCCCCCAACAAGGTAAATCATACCAATCAGAAAACGCAAAAAACCCTAAGAGTACAAAGAAATCAAATTTCTGCCCCCCATCTTACAATAATGGCATCACACATCATCAAACTATCAACCCCTCAAAAGATCAACTGATGTACTAGGTGGGGGTATAAGTAATGTGATGGCTAAGTCAGATACACCTTCGAAGCCTTCCCAACTAGTTAGTACTGAAGCTGGGGATTTGGAGAGGTACCAATTGGATAATGGTTCTGGAACTCCTGTTACTAAAACGCAGAGCCTTCTGGTAACCTCGAAAACTCCGTTGATTTCGTTTTTGATGCTAATTTGTGTGTTGTTGGTCCTACAGTTTCATCAGATCCCATCCAAGGCTTTGATTTGCCCATGAATTTGCCGGAAGAAGGAGAGGTGAGTAGGGGATTTGGAGATGTAGGTGGTGCGATAGAGATAATGGGAGAGAAACTGAGAAAGAAGGGGTGGGTGGGGCTGAGGCTAGGGGTGAAAAAATGCTAGAGACTAAGGAAGGAGCAGGGACTGATAGAGGGATGGGTACAGAAGGGAAAAAAGAAACCATCAAAAGGATTCAATCCCAAGAAGGTAAGTGTGATGAGGAGGCTGGAAGGGTCTTAGTTGAGGGGAAGGAAGAAAAGGAAGCAGGGAATAGTAAAAAAAGCCAAGAAGATCAGAGCATAAAGGACCCGGTGGTGGTTTTGGCTGCTAAAATGGGGTTGAAAGTGGAAAAAATTAAGGAAAAGGAATCTCAAAATAAGTAAAGTAAAGAAAAAAGGGGCAAGAGGAGAAGAAAGCTAAATGAAGTTGAAAAACTCATTAGTGATGTGGAAGGGGATAAGGAGTTCAGTGCTAGGGGAGGGAAAAGGAGAGGGTTGGGGTCTATAGGCTAGGGCAGGGCTGGGGTCAATATTTGATGTGATCATGAAGATTATTAGCTGGAATGCAAGGGGATTAGGAAAAGCCACAAAAAGAGGAGTAGTCAAAGTGGTGTTGAGGAAGGAGAGACCGGATTTCGTTCTAATTCAAGAATCCAAAATGCAAGGAGTAGACAAGAAGTGGATAAGAAGCTTGTGGGGAGAGAGGAATATTAACTGGAGCTTCGCTCCCTCTTGGGGTGCATCGGGGGGCATTATAACAATGTGGAGAGAAGTAGTCCAATGTTTGGAAGAATTGGTAGGCCATTTCTCAGTTTCTATTAAGTTGAAAGGTGTACAAGACGGTTTTGGACGGGTTCTCATGAATGTCTATGGGCCAAACTCATATAAAGAAATGAAGAAATTATGGGAGGAGCTTGGGGACATTAGGGGCCTCTGGGATGGACCTTGGTGTTTAGGGGGAGACTTCAATGTAGTAAGGTTTGTGAGTGAGACAACCGGAGGTAGACAAAGAACTACAATGAGTATGAGAAAGTTCAATTCTTTTATTGAAGCTTTTGAGTTAAGAGATATTCCTTTGGGGCAATCTTGTTATACTTGGTCAAACCTTCAAACATCCTCTATTCTTTCCAAGCTTGATAGGTTTTTAGTTTCACTTGATTGGGAAGAGCATTGGCTAGGGATAATTGGGAGAAATTTACCAAGATTCACCTCACCCCTTCTTTCTCTCCCATTATCTCTTTCGCACCACCTACATCTTCTAATCCCCTACTCATCTCTCCTTCTTCCGGCAAATGCATGGGCAAATCGAAGCCTTGGATGGGATTTGATGAAACTGTAGGACCAACAACACACAAATTAGCATAAAAAACAAAACCAATGGAGTTTTCGAGGTTACCAAAAGGCTGAGATGAAAGAATGACTTGCGTTTTAGTAACAAGAGTTCCAGAACCAATATCCATTTGGTACCTCTCCAAATCCCTAGCTTCAGTACTAACTAGTTGGGAAGGCTTCGAAGGTGTATTTGACTTAGCCATCACATTGCTTATACCCCCATCCAGAAATCAAAATTCTACCCCCACCCAGAAATCAAAATTCCCACTGTACTACATGTCAGGATTTCCTCTAGGAGCTTGGGGAAAAGAAGAGGGATCATTTGGTTAGTTGGGAAAGGGTGAGGAAATTGAAAGAGGAAGGGGGTTTGGGAATATGGAATGTTAGACTTAAGAATCAGGCTTTGCTTAGCAAATGGCCTTGGAGGTTTCCAAAAGAAAATGAGAAATTATGGCACAGAGTGGTTGCAAGCTTTCATGGCATGTCGAACAACGGATGGGATGCTAGATGTCTCCATAGGGCTAACTTGGATGCTCCTAGAGGTGTAAAGTGGGCTGTGCCATCCTCCCTAGTAGAAATTTTGGGGGTCGGCCTGGCACGGCCCACAGCCCAGGCCCAAGCAGGCCTGTGCCGGGTTGTAGGCCGTGGTGTGGGCTTGGACCGCGCCAAGCTGGGCCATAGGGCAGGCCTTGGGCCTAGGCCGAATCGGGCTGCATTGTTTTTATTTTTTATTTTTTGAAAATTTTGATTTCTTTTCTAAGTAAAATTGTAAAACTAAAATATTTAACTTTCCTATGAACTTTRGGAATTAKGAACTMTTTAAAAAATTAAGAAATGAGAAATCTAAGTTATTTAATACATAAATGAAAAAAAAATACTTAASCAAATTGAAATAAGAATGATGRAATAACARATTGGAAGAAAAATAGGAATTTTATTTCATTTAAATTTGAATGGTACAAATTAGTGAATTACAAATGCAATGATTGGATCATTGCATACTTGGATGAATGAAGTATAAAAATGGAATAAATTAATAAAATATAAAAAATACAATATGGTTACAAATTGAAAATACAAAATTACATTGTTAAAAGATTAAAAAAATATATCAAATAAATTAAATAATATTTAAACATTTTACAATAATTTGAAAAAAATGAAAAATTCTACAAGTAGTCAAATTCATGAATCATCATTCATGACTTTCATCATCTGCTTCAGGTGAAATGTTTGGTGTTGTATCATGCCCTCCCTTGTCTTGTAATCTATCTTCTGCATCTAGCCAATCCTTGAAGCAGATGCACATCTCTATGCTCTCATTGTTCACGTAGCTTCTTTTGTCATTCAACACCTTGGTACCTGCACTAAAACAAGACTCCGATGGAACTGTAGACACCAGAGGGGTTAGTAGATCACGTGCCATGGTGGTGAGAACCGGATAATTTTTCGATTGTTCACTCCACCAGGCTAAAATATCAAAATTATTTGATACTTCACCTAAATTAATAAAAATTGCTTGCAAATAAAAATTAAGTTCAATAAATGAACTTGTTGTAGAACTAGTAGATTTCTGCCTTCTACTTATTAAATAAAAAAGCTTCTCTTCTACTACTGGGCTTAAAGTCAAAAGGAGAAGAAGAAGAAGATGAACAAGTTGTAGGAATATTTCCTACAACTTCAGATTCATTCAAACCGTACATTCAAATAATAAATTATTAATTTCTTCTTTTTTATTTCCTATATCAATATTCATATTTTCATAATATGTTTCAAGTAAAATATCTAAACCATCTTTCGTAATCCTAGGGTCTAATATTGTAGCTAAACAATAAAGGGGAGAAATGTTCTCCCAATATTTTTTAAATTTCTTTTCCATAATTTCAACAATACATTGAAATTGTGGATTATTTCTATATTTGGAAAAACAATCACTAATTACCATTAATTGATGCGGTAAATTACAACTAGTTGGATAATAAATTCCAGATAATTCATTTGTTGCATCATAAAAATGTTTTAAAACATCTCTTATATAGACTGCCATTTCCTAGTCTTCCTTAAATATCATATCATTAGGCAATTTTAAATTATAAAAATCAGAAAGAATTTGTTTATGAGATATACAACTTTCTAACATAGCATAGGTAGAAGCGGAGGAAATGAAAAGGTCTAGGAAGAGAGGTTTCATTTGTAAATTGGATCTTGAAAAGGTCTATGGTTTGGTGGACTGAGAGTTTCTATTAGAGGTTATGCGAAACTGTGGATTTGGGGACAAGTGGTGTAGTTGGATTTTTAGGTGTATTAGTACTTGTCATTACTCTATTTTGGTAAATGGTATGGTGAGGGACTTTTTTCCAGCTTGCAGGGGTGTCAGGCAAGGGGATCCACTCTCACCCTTCCTTTTTACCTTAGTAGCTGATGTGATTGGTAGGATCATTACTAAGGCTGACAATGAAGATGCCATTAGGGGTTGGAGAATAGGGAGACACCAAGTCCCTGTCACCCACCTACAGTTTGCAGATGACCTAATGATCTTTTGTGAAGGAGGTTTTAGCGAAAAGGTAACAAACTTAAAGGAGCTAATCAAAGGATTTTAAAGTATTTCTAATTTGAGAGCAAATTTGGAAAAGAGCTACATAGTGGGTATAAATTTGGAGGTAGGGGAGGTCGAGGCTATTGCGGAGTTTCTTGAGTGTTCCACTCTACTTGGCCTATGTCATACTTAGGGCTTCCTTTAGGGGCAAATCCTACGGAGAGTAGATTTTGGACCCCAGTGATAGAAAAGTTTGAGAAGAGATTAGCCTCATGGAAGAGCTACCTTGGCTAACTTACCTACCTATTTTTTGTCTGTATTTAGGATACCAATTAGGGAAGCTAGGAAACTGGAGAAGTTGATGAGAGATTTCYTATGGGAGCCRGRACAAGAAAAAAAGGATCATTTGGTTAATTGGGAAATTGTGTGCAGAAGTAAAGAAGAGGGGGGTTTGGGACTTGGGAGGGTAACTAGAAAAAATCAAGCTCTGTTAGGGAAATGGTTGTTGCGATGGTCATTGGAAAGAGAGTATTGTGGCATGAGGTGGTGGGAAGCATTCATTGGAGGTCAGAGAATGGATGGGATGTTGGTGTCTCAAGGAAAGCTAACCTAGCAGCACCTTGGAAAGCCATTCACAACACCCTTCCTCAATTCCTCAATTTTATCAGGTATGAAGTTTGTTCTGGCAACACTGTTCATTTTTGGGAGGATATTTGGGTAGGAGACACCTTTAAAGGATATGTTCCCTTCGCTTTTTTTTTTTTTGTTTCTTTGTACAAAAAAGAGGTGGTCTCAAAATTTGTCTCACCTTTGGGAACACCCTTAGATCCTACTTGGGATTTTGGNAAAATTTGTCTCACCTTTGGGAACACCCTTAGATCCTACTTGGGATTTTGGGTTTCGTAGAGGACTTAGGGATGATGAAATTGAATCTCTTTCTGTCTTGCTTGGTTGTCTTAATCAGGTTTGTTTGGATCCCTCCAAGCCAGATAAGAGGGTATGGACACCCAATGAAACCTTCACTTGTGCTTCTTTCTTCAAGTCCATCTCTCAACTTTCTACTCACCAACCCTTTCSGTCAAAAGAAATTTGGTGCAAGCCAGTTCCCCAAAAAATTATGGCGTTTTGTTGGAAAGTATTCCATGGGAAAGTAAACACTCTAGATAACCTACAAAAGAGAAGACCTTTCCTCTGTATTTCTCCTAATTGGTGTATCCTYTGTAGAGYTCAYRGTGAGGATTGTTACCACCTATTAATATCTTGTCCCTTTTCTACAGGCCTTTGGGCTTGGCTACTTTCGTTGTTTGGGAGTAGTTGGAGTCTACCAATAGAAGTTCTCATGCTCTTCAACCATTCTACCTTTTATTGGCCTACAAAAATAGGGAGAATTATGTGGAGATGTGCTTGTACTGCTTTGATTTGGACTCTTTGGGAAGAAAGGAATATTAGAATTTTTCAAGAAAAGGAAGGAGCAGTCAGGAGTTGAAAGACTGCGTGTTAAATAGGGCAATGCCTTGGCTGAAGACCTTGGAAATCTTTCATCAATTCTCCTTTAATGACCTTTGGAGAAATTGGTCAGCAGTAGCGAGGTGTTCATCCCTAAAGGACAAATCAATTACAAGCTGGTCTCCTCCATCCGAAGGCTCACTGAAGTTGAGCTTTGATGGAAGTAGCATGGGTAATCCAGGATTATCTGGAATGGGGGGTGCTTTGAGAAATGAGAAGGGAGATATTTTGTTGTTCTACTCAGGTCCCTTGGGATTTGGGGACTCCATCAGGGCAGAACTTTTAGCTGCTGTTCAAGGGGTGCAATTTGCAAACCAGCTGGGGGTACAACACCTAACAATCCGAGGGGGATTCCAAAGTGGTGGTGGGTTGGTTGAAAAATCCTGAAGAGGCTATGTGGCATTACAAGAATGAAATGAAGAAATTTAGTTGGTTGACAAGGAATATGTTGGTCACTGTAC